ACTACTTTATTATCACTGGCTACCTCTAGTGGCTTGTCATTGATGTCTGTTCAAACTTCGTTCTCTTTTTTCCGTGGTGAGAAACATGTGAAATAGAGTATTGACGCATTCATGACTCCTCGATTACCATCGCCATCGTCTGGCCACCGGTGTGTGGGTTCACGACGAGCATGCACTGAACCGGCGATGATTCCCACGGCAACGATCGATCGGCTCTCAATGTGCATTTCCCATGACACCGGTTGGCCCACATTATTCTTCGACATATTATAAATGTCAAAAGGGGATTGACACTGAAAATGAAGAACCAAAATTATATGGCAGAGGAACACAGACAAGCTAAGTTTCCAGATGTGTTATACTTTCCCCACCAAATAACCTCAATCCGACCAGGTTTCTCCTCTCCGTCTACTAAGAGGGACTGGTCCAAGAAGAAGCTATCATCTCCACGGCGGCAGCAAACAGGCTGGCGACATAAGTATGACCCATTTCTCCACTCGTCGACCTGTCCAAGAACCTCCGTGCCCCTTATTATTTGCCTCCGAAAGAAAAATATGATGTAATGAAAAATATGCTTACTATTCTAAAAAAATACAGACGCTTGCCTATTTGGATGCACGGTTTAAGAGATAAAATATTTTGAATAAACAGATCTACAAAAAAGGGAAAACTTTCAGGTTGCGACAAGTGACGCGCTGCATGCGCCCACTTGTCGCATCCTGAGAGTTTTTTCTTTCTTCGTATATCCGTATATTCAAAACCTTTTATCTCTTAAACCATGCATCCAAATCTCGAACTGTTTCACCGTTGGATTCCGCGTCGAGATCTTCAAAAACTAGATTCCATATTGATAGGTTTTGACGAAAAAATTCAAAAAAATCGGACAAAAAACGGACGAAAAACCCGAACTAGGAGCAAGTTTTTTTCCTTTACGAAAGAGGCACGGTTGTGCCTCTCGTGAAAGCATAACCATGCCTATCGCGAAAGGAAAAAAATAGAAAACGTATTTTTTTCCCGTTTCCGAGAGACACGGCCGTGCCTGCCTCTCGTGGAAGAAAAAAAAAATAAGAAACACATTGTTTTCGTTTTTGAGAGGCATGGCCGTGCCTCTCGCAGAAGCATAACCATGCCTCTCGTGAAAGCAAAACCTTGCTTATCGCGGAAGAAAGAAAACAGAAAACACGCTTTTTTTCGTTTTCGAGAGGCATGGGCGTGCCTCTCGCGAAAGCAAAACCGTGACTCTCGCGGAAGAAACGAATGTGTTTCTTCGTGCAAGAAAAGAAATTCGATTTTTTTTCTTGTGCGGAAGCTAAGAAAGACCGGTGAAAACCAAAAAGTTAAAAAAAACTCGCTTAAAGAGGCGAAAACGTGTGCAGAAAAATAAAAAACAGACGCGCTCTCAACCTATCCTAGATGATTGTTGAAAGTGTTTAAAGAAGCGCTCTCCAATTAGTTGCTCCCGCTCCCGAGAGTCGCTCACGCCAGCCCACGCGCGCCACAAGAGAGCTCGGCAGGCTCAGCAGTGTAAGTAAAGGAGCCCACCCGATGCCGGACCAGATAGATAGGTTATGCAAATCGACTGACGAACGCGCGTTTCCCTCAAAAAAAAAAAGACTGACGAACGCGCGCGCTAGGAGAAGGCGGGAACGCGAGAATACGCGTCCGCACGCGCCCACCCACGCGCGCCCCACGTGTTCGGCGAAACACCCGACCCGACCCCGATTTGGAAGTGGTCTCACCTTTCCGTATAAAGCTGAGCTACCTCAGCCCCAGCCGCCAATCCAATCGAATCCGCCCTTGCTCTGTTCCCACTGCCGCCGCCGGAGCCGCCGCGATGTCGACGCCGACGCCGGCGCTACTGTCCGACGAGGGCATGGCGAGGGTGCGCCGCAAGAAGGACTTCCGCCACATGGAGCGGGTGGACGGCCGCATGCTCAACATCCTCCAGGGCCTCGAGCTCCACGCCAACGTCTTCTCCCCCGACGAGCAGGCCAAGATCGTCGCCTGCGTCCTCGACCTCCAGGACCAAGGCCGCCGCGGCCGCCTCCGAGGTACCCAACCTTCCCCCTCTTCTTCTCCAACACCCCTCCAATGAATCAATCAATCAATTCCCCTCCTGCACGAGAGCTCCTTCTTCCTCCCCCGATCTTGATCTGACGACCTCGATTCTTCTTCCAGAGCGGACCTACTCGGAGCCGCGCAAGTGGATGCGGGGCAAGGGCCGGGCCACGATCCAGTTCGGCTGCTGCTACAACTACGCCGCCGACCGGGACGGCAACCCGCCGGGCATCGTGCGGGACGAGGCCGTCGACCCGCTGCCGCCGCTGCTCGCCGCCATGGCGCGCCGCCTCGTGCTCTGGCGCGTGCTCCCGCCCTCCTGCGTGCCCGACAGCTGCATCGTCAACGTCTATGACGTCGACGACTGCATCCCGCCGCACGTCGACCACCACGACTTCCTCCGCCCCTTCTGCACCGCCTCCTTCCTCACCGAGGCCCCCATCCTCTTCGGCAAGGACATGAGGGTCCTCGCGCCAGGGGAGTTCTCCGCCGCGGCCTCCATCCCGCTCCCCGTGGGGTCGGTGCTCGTGCTGAACGGTAACGGCGCCGACGTCGCCAAGCACTGCGTGCCCGCCGTGCCCGCCAAGAGGATCTCCATCACGTTCAGGAAGATGGACGCCTCCAAGGTCCCGTTCGGCTTCCGGCCCGACCCGCTGCTGCAGAGCCTCGCGGCTGCTGCGGTCCGGCCGGCGACGGCGGCGAGCGCGCCTCCGAACAGAGCTGCCTGGGAGCAGAGCAATGGGGAGGCGGCCAAGCATGCCACACCTCAGCAGCAGCAGCAAGCGGCGGCGCCTCTGTACCAGGCTGCTGCTGCCAGGGCGGGACAGACACAGTCACAGAGCCCCGGCGGCGGAGTGCCTTTCAGCCTCTCCACCGACGAGTTCCCGGCGCTTGGTGCCTCGCCGGCCAGCGGACGACGGCCCGGAAGGAGATAAAAAACTCAATTTTTTGAAAGATGATGAGTTGAGAGATACTGTACTTTACTTTTGTTGGAGCTCACATATTAACAACATTCATTCATTCATCCGATGTATTACTACCACTCATCATCCGTGGCTCATGATATTAGTACATTGATGATGATGATGATCTACTCTGATTGCGTCGGTTTGATGATCGACTACATTGCGTGGCTCATAAAATTTCAAAGATGGCACCATCAAATGAGCGCCGACAGTCAAATACTAATAGTGATTTACTACGCATTTTCTTTTTACCGCTATGTTCAGTAGTATATTTTTAGTTTTGTCTCTGCAAATAAAATTTAAACAGCAAGAAGAAGTGTGTTCCTTATTCAGTTCATTAGGGCATCATCCAATTTGTCCAAACTAAGGGGTGGGGCTTTGTGGGTGTTCAAATCTTGCCACGTACCCAACGGACACCCCTGGTCCACCCAAAACCTCTCCCGCGCCCGCGCCCTCTCTCACGCCAAGCAGTTGCCGCGCATTCATGCTGGTCCAAACTAGGGGGTGGGGCTTTGTGGGCGTTCAAACCTTGCCACATACGCAACGGACACCCCTGATCCACTCAAAACCTCTCCCACGCCCGCGTTCTCT